AAATATGAATGTTAGAGAAAAAGATTGAACAAGAAAGGAAATATGAATGTTAGAAAGAGGTAAAAAGAAAAAAACTGACATGCATTAAGGTTGAAAGTGTAATTTTGACAGTGGTGTCAATTAGTCAAAGAGAATTTTATGAGAGCTTAATTTGTTCCAGGCTTATTAAGTAAAATATGGTGAGTAAATTTATCCAAAATAAAATTCAATATTTTAAAACTCACTATTAAGAGGGTGCAATTGGGTGTGTGTTTCTTGTCAATAAAAATAAGGGTAATTTGCAATGACACCCTTTTAGGTTTGCTTAAAAAATAGGTAGATACAATTTAGGCGACAATGACACCCCCTAGGTTTGAAAAACTAGACAAAGGCACCCCAACCATAATGTGATACCCCTCAGATCCGAGATACGGGTTGATCAGGCCCATGCCCAAACCTAAGGGATATCAAACAATTAATATGTAACCAAATACAGAATACAAGATAAAATAAGAAATAAAAATAATAAGCTGAAAGAATGCTAATTGAAAATCCTTAAAATAATATAATTATTGAAATCTGTTAAATCCAAACTCCATAGGTTTACAACTTGGGAATCCATCCATTGGACCCCTTTTTAAAGATTCTCAAACCGAAACTGAAATAATAGAAAAAAAGTCTAAAGCTAACATAAAGAAGATTCCTACATAGTCGGAGGAATGAATCTCTGTATCTGCTCTGCACGTCTAAGCTTTAACCCTGGAACTGACGAACACCTGAAAAATAAAGAAGTGGGTCAGGCCCACATGCAAGTCCTGATCTATTACAATCTAAACAGTAATCCGATACGCAGATACATCCTAGAAAGACTCAACAATATCTAGAGTAGTCCATATAAGTATATAGTACACACTATAGGACGCTCGCTAGTCCAGTAGGTCTGTCTCAGCCTGAATAGAAGGCAACATGCGAATACGTACCTTAAGGTGGGCATGAGTACCTAGACCTACCAGGGAACAACACCTATGTCCAGTTATCCATCCTAGGCGATATAAGCGCCCTAACCATGGTCATGAGACTCAAGCTCATACCACGGCACCATATAATATATATATAAAGTCCGTACTCCTCCTAATACAAAATACCATCCATCTGAGTAGTGGTCTGATATATGTATAACAAATCCATCCTGAAACCATAGTGGATCATTCAATTCACAATTGATATGACACATATAGGTGATGGACTTAACCCTTGTGGTTAGTCCATAACTCAATCCAAGTTAGGTAGAACACAGTGTTTGAACTAGTCCATACCCAGTATGTCACCGTCTCATACCGGTGCATACAATCCTCCAGATAGCATAGTTAATAAACAACATTATATATATCCAACAACCATCCTTCAAAACATGCATCAATATAAATTAACACATATATATCAATATTAGGCAGTCATTATAGAGCCTAAAAATCCAATTCCAATAATGTAAACAGCTAAAACAAGTATAAGCGTTCACATCCTCCAAATTATCCAAAAACTGATGCAGATGTATAGCAAAGTGAAAATTAATTTAATCCAACACAAGCATGGTTAAATTCAAGTAATCCATGTTACTTATAATCCTATCTAAATATGATTAATTAAAATTTAAATCATATATAAACAATCCTCCAAGTTCCAAAGTATAAGCTGTTTAACATTCAAAGCTCAACATATAGGATCTTCCCCTAACTGTACATTGTCCATATCTTAATCCATTTATGAATCATTATTTACCTATATTCTTAAAGGTCTAAAACAATAATATACATCATTTAAAATAATTTAAACGAAGCGCTAACACTCTGTATAGTCCAAACAGTGCACAAAAAACCCAAACTGGGCGTTTAAAACCAAAAATCCCAACTGAGCAAGCTAAGTTACAACTGAGCAGGCTAAGTTGCTAACTTAGTCGGCTGAGTTGCTAACTTAGTCGGCTCAGCTCCCAACTGAGTCGGCTAAGTTGCCAACTTAGTCGGCTTAGTTTCTAACTGAGTCGGCTAAGTTTGTGTTGAAGCCGTCTTCTTCGTTTGTTTAGCCTCTATAAACCCTAAAACTTCATTGTTAAGGCCTCTAAGCTTCCACCTATGTCCCATACGTCCATACTAAATTATTTTAGATGTTTTAGTAGGCAATGATTCAATTTAAATAACAGTTCATGCATAAAGATCAAAGAAATAAAGAAAACACGAATAAGCATATATAATCATGAAACTCTCTGTTTTAGTCCAATTACGCATGCATTAGTATTTCGTTTTAGCCTTTATTTAATCCCTGGAGTCTAGCTAATCATGCACAGAACACAGATTAAAGAGATAGAGAAGAACAAGACTTGCCTTAAGTTTCAGATTTGAAACTCTAAACTGTCGTCTCCTGAATTTTCCGACGAAGTTTCCGACTGTTGTTCCACCTCCGTCACTCTTGGTTTAGTCTTAGTTGAAGCCCACAACCCTAGTTTCCCTCCTTAATCCCTCTCTGTTTCGCTGCTCTCACAACTCTCTGTATACGGGAATAGAGTTTTATGTATTTTTTCTCCAACTCTAAACCCACATAAGGTCATATTTATAGGCGTAGTAATCCAACCCTAATCCTTGTATAAGTTGAGCCCTAATGCAACACTTAGTCGGCCCAAGAATAACCTATATCGGCTAATACGTGAATACACAGAAAACACAATCCTAATTTAAACCAATTTAATTAAATAAAACCAATTATCAATTAAGTCAAATAAAACATAATAAAACAATTTAATTTAAAACAATTTAATAAAAGAAAATAAAACACTTTAATCAATTAATTAAAACAAAGTCAAATTTATATAACCATGGAAGAAACACACAATTAAAATAACCAATTAAATAAAATAACACGCAATTAAACAATTAAATAAAGGATTAAACAATTAAATAAATGCCAGGACTATCCTTAAAATTAGGGGTATTACATATAATAAAAATACTTTTTTACCCTTTGACCACCTAAAATGACTATACTACCCCAAATGAATATACGACATTTTCTATCTACGTACCTCCAGCACCACCATTGCCAATATCACCCACCACCGCCCACCCCTTCTTTCTCTCTCCACTCACCGATCACCACCGCAACCACCACTCACGAGTCACACCACCGCAACCTCCACAATACGAATTCGTCATGAACTCACACATAGTTGCAGATGTTAAAGGAATCATTTTCTCATGTGTATGGGGTTTCAGATTAGGGTTTTGAGAGATACTGTGTGTGGAAGAAGTTGGAGATGGAGGGACGTAGTGGCAAATTGAGAGGTTGTTTGAAGATGTGGTATGGGAGGAGGGAGGTGGAGGCACGGCACGGCGTGCGACAGGTGTCGGTAAATTGAGGGGTTATTTAAGGTGTAGTAGAGAAGAAGGGATGTGGAGGGACGCGGCAGCGCACAACATGTGGTAGCGAATTGAAGGGTTGATGCGGTCGACGCCATGTCGCAGTTCAGGTAGAAAAGGAATATGGGTTTGTGTGTGCTCACCGATTCACCCACCACCGCTCACCCCCTCTTTCTTTCTACAACGGTGCTCCCCAATACGACATCATTCGATCAGCTTCCGGTGGTGAATGGGTTCACCATATTGCTGGCTGGACCGCAGTGTTGGATAGTTAGAGGGTCGATTGTGGGGTTTCTGATCGCCGTCAGGACGGTGTACATGGCGGCGGCGTCATTCAACAACCCTTTGTTTCACCGATAGCCGGCGAAGGACGATGTGCGTTGCTCGATTTTTGGAGGGAATGTTACGATCGTGGGCAGTCATCTTCGCGCAAGATTGGTCTTCCATTACAGAGATATGAGATGAGAGTTGTTGAAAAAGAGAGATGAGAGAGTAAAGATATGTACAAGGAAAGAAAGAGCGAGATGAGAGAGTAAAGCTGTATACAAGGAATGAAAAAAAGAGATGAGATGAGAGGGTATTAGGGCATATTAGGTCATTTTAGGTGAGGTATATCTTAGGGCATATTAGACATTTTATGTCACTTATGGTTGTGTTTGGATTCTTTTTTTTTTTTTATAAAGTGGGATGTCATTGTTCAAGTTTACAAACCTAGGGGGTGTCATTGTCCAAAAGTGACCTAAATTGCATATACCTATCTTTTAGGCAAACTTAGGGGGTGTCACTGCAAATTACCCTAAAAATAAATTTTTTTAAAAAAAAAAAAAAAATAGTAGTAATTTTTCAGAATTTATCAAAAATTTTGGGGGATTTACAAAGTTCCACTCCCCCTACACTATTTTTCACTATCTTTTTATTTTTTATTAACTTATACAGTCTGAGGGTGTGCTTTGGCACAATGATAATGTTGTTTCATTGTCTCTCCACATGCAGAGATAACCCTCGCCATAAGGACAGAGCCAAAAATTACGTTTAGGAGGCATAATCCAATAATTTTTTTTGAGGCATGGCAATTTTAAAATTTTAAAGAATTATACATACAAAGATAATTTTTTAAAAAAAGTTTAGGGGGGAAATTTAATTTTTTAAAGAATTATACATACAAAAATGAAAAAATTTTAAGTTGAGGGGGTAAATTTTAAAATTTTAAAGAATGATACATACAAAAATAAAATTTTTAAAAGTTGAGGAAGACAATTTTAAAATTTTAAAGAGTCGTACAAACAAAAATGAAAATTTTAAAAGTTGAAGGAAGCAAATCCCACGATGGCAGGCGCCTCAAACGTGCACTAGATTTGTCCAGTCTCATACAAGTTTGTCCTTTATTAAATCATCCAAATAACACTGTTTCCGCTAATCAAATTCCGGATACACACCATTATCCGTAAATTACGTACATTCATTATTTAAGTTCAGGCTTTACTTTGAATCAGACAAGCGAAGCACCCCGTCCCAAAACCTTACCATTTCCATTATTTTGTCTCAAACTAATTCTACCCTTTCTTTTGAATATACTTAGCCGTACTATGTATAATAGTTTCCAACACCTACAAATTAACACAGACAATATTTTCATTGAAATATATGATTACAGAGAGTAACAAAAAATCTGTTTACACCCACAAAAACTTGGTGATATCCAATTAATATATCAAGGATTGAAAATCAGATCACCGCATTTACACTTCCAACACATGGGCTTGTAGTTGGAGATGTCATCTCCCCTTGAATATGCCATACTTGGGAGTGCAGATGAGAAATAGTGTCTTCTTGTGTATCCTGGTTTCACGAGTAGTTGGGGAGCAACAGGGACTTGAATTGCCTCACAGTGGCCGCAATACCTGCACCTTCTCTCACACCTTGGCGGCCTCGACCCTATCAGCATAGCCCTTACCACCACCACCACCTTCACTTCACTTTCATTCTGTGTGTGTATATATATATATATATATGATTATGTGTGTGTATATGTAATAATTATATAAATGTACAGACATATAGATAGGCATGAAATAGAATATTTGTAACTAAGCTTGCTCACCTTGCCAGTCTGAACCAACTTGGGAATTGCTCTACCTGCAATATTTTATATGAATTAGTGCTATCTAGCTAGGGATTTTATACATCATGACTTTCAACTGCAAACTGATGCATGTACTAAAATTTGTAGCAAATTTTTTTTTTTTTTTTTTTGGCAGTGACCCAATTACCTTCAGCCATGAATCTTCCGTGGGTCAAGCTTGAAATCAAGAAAAAGAGCAAGTAAATGATTAGATGTGTAGTTCTGTACTGATGGCAGCATATGCAATTTTGAATGCAGCCCATCTGAAATTTCACACACACACTAGAGAATGAAATTTGAAAAGAAAAAAAAGTGTGCAGGCGAAGAGAGGGTTTAGTGATGAAAAGCCAACTCCATAATGCTCAAGAGATCACACTACACACTGACTTTGTGTGGTCAATCTTCTTGATTCTCTTTCAATAATGGAAAAGAAATAATGGATCATTGAAGGTAAAAGGAGTGGTGTAAGAAGCTGATCAAAAGAAAGTCCTTAAAAAGGGAAATAACCTAATGAGCCTCGTTTGATGAGCCCTAGAAAATCAAGGCAGGCTGGTTATACAGAACTACTACAGCAAAAAAGCACTGCTTATAGCATAAACAACTAAATAAAGGGTGAGTCAAATAATACAATAAATGGAACAAAATTAGTAAACCCCACACACACACACACTCCAAAAAAAAAAATGTAGATATAGAATTATAGATACATGCACAATGTAAAAAGTAGATGATTGGGGTAGGATTTTGCAGAAAGGGAAGTTGTGGGTTATGGGTCTTCCTTCCTTTCTGTCATTTTCACTCATTTTGTCCCCCACATTTCTGTATACTAGAGTCCAGCTGTTGCATTCAGAATTTTCTTATATGAGCAGTTATAATCAAACTTACCAAATCTCTCTCTCTCTCTCTCTCTCTCTCTCTCTCTGAATTATTAAACAGTAACTTATATATAGACAATACTTGGGGTTAGGTATATAGATTCTTGAAGTAAGTAACTACTGTATGATGAAAATACAATTCCTGAATGCGATGAATGATGAGACTTGAGAGGTTTTTACCCTACAATTCACGCAAACCGTGGTGCAGCTAGAGAAGTTGGTACGTACTCTTCTGTATATACTATATACATATTACATATAAATGGAGCTCATGATCTTCTCCATGTGCAGTATTCAGGTGTATATATACGTACAAAAATACTGTTAGGTCAATAGTGTCATACCATTACATACTTTTTGGGGTCCAAATTAAAAATAAAAAATTACCTTTTAACAAAATACTATAACAATGAATATCATGAATAGTACCCAAAGCATTATAATTTTTAATTTTGTAATATTTTTTTTATTAAACATATTTTTATGTTTTTGCTTCTGTAACAAAAAAAAAAATTTATTTTTTTCTAATGGTTTCGCGCGGTAACAAAATACTATAACTATGAATATCGAGAATAGTACCCAAAGCATTATAATTTTTAATTTTGTAATATTTTTTTATTAAACATATTTTTATATTTTTACTTCTAAATTTTATGTAACAAAAAACACATTATCAAAATATGCTTTTGATTACTAATTAAGAAAATCACTTAAACAACAAAAAAATTGTAACTTTTAGCATATTATATACTAGTATAATAAGATCAGAAAATAAATTTGTTAATTGTTCCAGTTAAAGATGTGGAAGACCAGGCCACGTGGATATAATGACAGAAGTTGTCAGCAATTCATTGGGGGAACTCCCAATAATACCCGTGAAGGGTATCCCACTGAACGGCCTAACACAGTAGTGTATGGACCACCTGATATTTTAGACTGATGTCCCTTTTAGTCATTTCAATGGACTTGCCTGCATTGTAAGTCTGCATTAGGGAACCCATCAAGTTTGGCCCAACCCACCAAGACCCAAAAGAGGCGTCTTTTAACACTCTTTTAAGAACAGCAATGGGCCTGAGCTGGGTTGGCTTAGGTAATTCTAACCCTGCTAGAATCAAGTTGGACTTGGTCTCATAAAAAAATTATAGGTCATAATGTAAATAAAAATTCAGTGGAGGCTTCTGCCCTCATTCGGCCATTGATAGGTCCGTCCATGATCTTTGCTTTCTTACATTGATTGAAATAACTTCCCAAAGAGTGTTATCCTATGAAGCACGAACACATATACATGATAAGGGTACGACATGACACGGATAAAGTAACACAATAAATTTCACAATACCATAAATTCAATCTCCCTAAAAAAAATATTAAAATAAAAGAAATATTTTAATTCATCATCTAAGCAATTAAGAACCTAGCAAAGTAATTAACAAAATTAGACAAATAAGATCAAGTACATTTCCAACATGTTTAACATTCTTCATTCATCAGTTCATTGTCTGTGTAGGTTTTTAAAATTTTACTTTTAAACATTTAAAATTATATTAGGTACCCCTTTTTTCTTAAAAAAAAAAAAAAATTACAAAATATACCGTGCCGTGTCCAGTACGTGTCCCCCGCGTGTCCATCCCGTATTTAATGAAAAATATTTTTGGACACTCGAACACGTGTGTTCGAGACACTGATGCGGGACCCTGGAAGGGGTGTCCGTGCTTCATAGGTGTTATCTTTCTTTCATTGTTTTATACTGAATTCAAATGTTTTTATAACCTTATAAATTCAAGAGAGTAAATTAGGAATATTAAAAAAATAATATATTTGATTTTGAATCGAGACAATTATTTTTGGACATCTGAAAATGGTAATGTGGACACTTGTTGTGGGACATAGGGAATATATAGGTTTATCTATTATATGTTCCTGTTGTTCACAGTAATTATTGGTTTTCTTAAATACATTACTTATAAAATTAAATTTAAAGACCAAGACTGCCCTTATATTGATAGTAAAATGGCAAACAAATGTTCAAAGATTTAAAGTTTTGTATTGTCAATGGAAAATGTTTTGGTTTTTTTCTTTTTCTTTTTTTCTTTTCTTTTTTTTTTTCTCATTTTGACAATATCATGAATTTTGCCTCAAATAGAGAATTTGCAAGAGCATCTCAACATTGATGAGGTGACAATATGTAGCTGGAAAAAGTTAACCCTTTTTTTTTCTTAATACCTAATTTGTCGTTTCAATTTGTAAAATTTTTTCCCAAGAAAGCCAAGCAATTTATTGATATTAGTAAATTACCCTTAGGAGGGCAACCCGAGCCCAGCCCGATTTTTTGTAGGTTTAGATAATTATTTTAATAATTATGAATGGCATTGGGTTGAGGTGCTAGCAACCTGAACAAACCCTTTATTTTTTTCAACTTCATTTGTTAAATCTTAACTCATTTATATATTAACATTAATTTTTTTAAAGAGTAATTTAATCTAAAACTAATTCAAGATTATATTAAATTTTCAGTATCAGCTCATATTTAAAAGTAGAAGGATGAATTGAACTCTGGTTAAATAGTTAGGATTGAAGATAGGATTAGAGTTGGGTCGAATTACTCATATGCAAGGTCCTCTTTGTTGTTTGGGTTGCCGTCTTGCCCGATGTGCCTGGTTATGTTCGGGCCTTGGGGAAATGCCCCAAGTGTCCTTGTAATTTTTTTTCTCTTTTAAAGACCACCAGCTGAACCACCTGACCAATGATTCTGCAGTGGAGGTTTTTACATCCATGTTGTCATCGGATTGGGAGGAGCCACACAACGGTCTCCTATTCTGAGTTGGCTATCTTGGGCAGGGGCCATTGGGTTGGGCTTACTTGTTCATGCGCCTACATAATAGCTTGGGCTAACATTCCACATTGTGGGCTTGTACATTGTTTATTATATTTATAAAATTAAAATTCACCTTTCAAAAAAAAAAAAAAAAAAAAAAAAAAAGGGAAGGGCATATGCATTTTGTTGTTTCTGAAATTGAGTAGCAGAACCCATGTTAGATTGGTGCTTGTGTATTTATGTTTATCCACTTGCTGCGAATCTCTTTCAAATTCAGTGTGAATCTGTGATGCTCCCTTGATATGAGATTCATGGTCTCTTCATATATGAATACGTTAGCAGAAGAAAGTATGGTAGAACTAGCCAAAGAAATAATATTAGTATTCCTTTTATCTCCCGTTGAAAATCCACATTTTTTGTTCCTTTTATCTCTCAATATCCTCTTATTGCTTGGAGTGCGAATAACTCAATAACACCTCCCAGTATATATATATATATTATTTATCTTATTTTCTTTTTCTTTTTTTTTACTATATATATACAGAACAAGCGACGGGGTTTGTATAGGAGCACAATGTCAATTTATTTGGAGTTTGACTAATTCTTCCACTTAGTATGAATATATATTCATGTGTATCAAGAATCAACCTATGCATTGAGATATTTCTGTTATATATTTGATTAGGGTCAACCTTAATTTGCTGATTGTGAAATACATTGAAGAAAAAATATGCTTTTACAATATATATATATATATATATATATATATATATATATATATAGTTGAAACCTATCTAACCCGATCAGTTAATTTAGATAGGCCAATTTATCTTTCCACCCTACTACTTATCCCTCTAGCTCATCCTATCACCGTCACAACTGTTGTCTCCTTCCAAAACCATGACCACGCAACATCCAGGAAAGGGCTAATCAAAAGAAAGTCCTTAAAAAGGTAGATAACCTCATGAGCCCTAAAAAAAACCCCTGATGTTGATTAGCCCAACAATTGATGCAAACTATGAATCAGAATTTTCTCTAATGCACAGGGAACACCGTTACATGAATTACATCAATAATTTAATACCATTACAATAAAAATACAACACTTATACTTTTATATCAAAATTGCATTAAGGTGTTGTGCATGCACCACAAAATACAATACAAAACTTTTATATATATATATATATATATATATAGAGAGAGAGAGAGAGAGAAGGGGATCTTGGTTCTACCGACATACAAACTTTACCGTCTCATCATCGTCGAATCAATCTCCAAAGGCCGGCCAACTAGTTCCAGTTCCAATCGGATGCCGAGTCTTGATAACGTACTTTGATCCGTCATCTTGCCTGTGAGAATTGATCTCTTACGTACCATGCAGTTTTGCAGTCTTCTTTCTCTTCAGGGCATGCAGATTCCGGTGAGAAAGAAGACTGTAAAAATGCACCGTGCGTCGGAGATCAGATAGATTTCTCGGCTGCTCCGTAGGTTTCTCCGCTGCTCTCAACATCGACTCTTCTTCTATACACATTCCAATCTATATATATACACACATACATGTAAGAGTGTGCTTATTTATTAAGCAACCTATCCCTATCCCTATCCCTATCCCTATCCCTATCCCTATCCCTAATGATTATTATGCCAGCCCATTAAGCAGGTGGGTAAACCTTCGACCACATATAGAGTAATGTGGCTGGGTAAACCTTTGACCACAGTATACACTACTACGTGAGTGTATGTGTGTGTGTGTATATATATATATATAGACATATACAATTGTAAATCTCTCTGCAATTCTGCATATAATTACCGGAAGAAAAAAAAAAATCTCTCTCATAAATATATATATATACATATATTAATCTACTGATATTATTTCTCTTTTCAAACAGAAAGATTCATCAACCCTCTATCTTCGTTAAAAAATACTCCATAAAATAAAATAAAATAAAATATTGAGCAAAACGCATTGGGTGGAAGTGAAACTCCCAACAAAGTAGTGTATGGGCCACATATTTAGCTGATGGCTCTTTTAGGCATTTCAATGGACTTGTATTAGGGAAACCCACCAAAATGGGCCCAACCCACCAAAACCCAATAGAGACTGACTACCTGTCTTGAATATACATACCCTTTTAAGAAAAGAAATGGGCTCAGTTGGGCTGGGCTTAAGTAAGCACAACCTCGCTTGAATCAAGTTGGACTTGCTTAATATGGATTAAGATCATCTTTTATGTTCTTTCTTTCAGAACACTTCACATTAACATTAATTCCTTAGCTTAATAGCATTTGTCAAGCAAGTAAAAATTTATTCTCTGAGTTTTTTTATCATTTGCTTCATCATCATCATCATCATAAAATTAAAATCATTTTTAACTACCTCATCTTACGTAAATTTTGGTTGGCTTCTTTGACTCTTACCTACGTATTAAGCAAACAATCTTTCCTCTCCTAATTAGTGCATCTTTCGGTCTCTGTCGAATAAGACGATACCTGACGTTTCAGATCAATCATAATTGAACACTGAAAATATTTAAAATGTATAAAATAAAAAAAGTTTTAATTTTTTACTTAAAATTTCTCATAGAACTCAGATAAACCCATCAAGTTGGGCCCGACCCACCAGAACCCAATAGAGGCTACTTGTTCCTTTTCAGAATAGAAATTTGACACTGAGATGGGCTGGCCTTAAGTAATTATAACCGCGCTAGAATCAAGTGGGACTTGATTAATTACAACCACGCTAAGATCTGTCTAATTTTATGTATATTGACAATTTTTATGTTCTTCTCCTTTTCTTTTCTTTTCACATTTTTTTTTTTTTTTTTACATTAGCCTATTACCATATTAAAATTTGTATAATTACCTTCCGAAATTTTTTTTTAAAAAAAATGTTTGTCTAACTGTAATTCCTCTCAAGTCTCAACCAGATAAAAATATCTGTCTATTTTATATATATTGACAATTTTTGAAAAAAAATAAAATTACTACTCAAGGTATTGTTTAATTATCTAATTCAGCGCTTAATTTTGAATGAATTAAGCATTTAATTAAACGAAATTTAAATAGCACTGAAAACGATAACCAACCACTTAAAATGGGGTAATATTTGACTAATACATCACTGTTATTGAATGCTGAACACTTAAATTTCAAAAAATATGTATTTTTTAATTATCATTTAAAAACTTCAACACTTAAAATTCAATCCATAAAATTTTCAATTTTATCAAACAGCGTTGACATCTTGAATTTTATCAAATAATGGCCCTTTCTTAGTATAAAATGTAATAATATATACTCTCTCCTTTAGAAGACCATACCTGACGTTTCAGATCAATCATAATTGAACACTGAAAACATATAAAATGTATTAAAAAAAAAAAAAGTTTTAATTTTTTACTTGAAATTTCTCATAGAAATCGGATAAACCCGTAGGTATCCTATTGGAGAACCCATCAAGTTGGGCCCGACCCACCAGAACCCAATAGAGGCTACTTGTTCCTTTTCAGAATTGCAATTTGACACTGAGTTGGGCTGGCCGTAAGTAATTATAACCGCGCTAGAATCAAGTGGGACTTGATTAATTATAACCACGCTAAGATCTGTCTAATTTTATGTATATTGACAATTTTTATGTTCTTTTCCTTTTCTTTTCTTTTCACATTTTTTTTTTTTTACATTAGCCTATTAGCATATTAAAATTTGTATAATTACCTTCCGAATTTTTTTTTAAAAAAAAACATTTGTCTAACTGTAATTCCTCTCAAGTCTCAACCAAATAAAAATATCTGTCTATTTTATATATATTGACAATTTTTGAAAAAAAATAAAATGACCACTTAGGGTGCTGTTTGATTATCCAATTCAGTGCTCAATTTTGAATGAATCAAGCGCTTATTTAATTAAGTGTATTTGATAACAAAATTTAAATATTACTGAAAACGATAAGTATCACTTAAAATAGAGTAATATTTGACTAATACATCACTTGTTATTGAATTCTGAACACTCGAAATTCAAAAAAGATTTATTTTTTAATTATCTTAAAAACTTCAACACTTAAAATTCAATTCATAAAATTTTCAGTTTAATCAAAAAGTATTGACATCTTGAATTTTATCAAATAATGGCCCTTTCTTAGTATAAAATGTAATAATATATACTCTCTCCCATATTAATCGTCCAATTTTTATATTATACCTTTTAAAGTTGATATACAATTAATGCATTAGCCATTTCAAAATTATTTTAATTTTAAGTTTAAAAATATTTATTTTTTGCTTTAATTTGTTCATGATAACTAATTTGAGACGCCTTAAAATAAAATAATGAAATACTAATATGGGACTAAGTAATATTATTATACTTACTTTTCACCTACTTTTTTCATTACAGTTAAATGATTTTAGAAGAGATTAAAATAATAAACGTTTTTAAATATAATTTATCCATTTTTTTTATAAAAGAAAAAATATATAGAAAAAATTATACATGCCACGGGTACTCAATTGTCAAAAGCGGCAATACCCTTGTATTATGTTTTTTACACCGGCATTCTTTGGATGACTTCTCTGGTTCAGTGCTGCCAAGTAGCTTTCCCTATATTGGGGCGAAATTGTAGGAAAAAGAAAACCCTATCTTGCAACCTTCAAAGGAGCCACCTCCCAATCTAGCCTCTGTTTGGTTGTCAAGAAATCGAAGGAAAATAAATGGATACCCGGAATCTTAAAGCAAATAGGAAGGTAATATTGTAGGAGAACATTTTATAGTCAATCTAGTTTATATACATCTACAATGCTAATAATTTCAATTTTCCGATAGATATACTTTTGATTTGTGATGTTTTGATTAGATGATTCTATTACTTTAGTAACGATTCTCTTTGCAAACTCTTTAGAAATTATGCTAATCTATTGTTTATCAGTCTGAATTGTTTCTTGGTGTTAAGTAGTTGAAAATATCTGAGACCTAAGTTTTTCTAAATAACCTTCTAATTCATCTGGTGATTGCATACTACTCTGTATTTTATTGTATTTTTTTTTAATATTATTATTTAAATAATTGTTTGCCCTTTTTGGAAGAATGTGCTCTAAGTATGTTAATTCGTCCATATAACATTTGAAAGTAGCATGATACTTCAAATGGTCTCTGCATATGTAATGGATGATAAATCTATATATTATATACAAACACATACATTCACACATACATGTGTGTGTATCCCTAAATGGCCGTGAGTGTTGCAATGTTCTGCTACAATATTTTGATATGAAGAAAGTGGCTCTGAACAACAAATATTTTGAATTTTCAGTAGCACATATCTTCATATGACAAAGTCAAGTATGTGAAAACTGAGGGAGGGGAAAGGTGGAATATACTAGCTGATGTGAACCTTCTTCATGATAACTGTTATGTTCAAATGGATGCATCGCCCAGCTTCTGTCATTTTAATTTGGCTAGCTTCTGATCTTCACCGATATCAGTGTGTTTTCATCTCCTATCATGATTCATGCTTGTTTCATTTTTATATCCAGTTCTAGTCTACATGAAAGCAGGGAGCCAAGAATTTTACTTTGGGGGGCCAAATGAGTATTATATAATTAAATTTTAAATTTTTACAAACCAATTGTAATATAATTTTGTTTATAATATAGTCATAGTACATATATCTTTAAAAAATCCAAAAGTTGAGAAAAAAATATTTCAACCTAAATCAATTTTTCTTCAGAAATTATTTCAATTTTTGAATAAACGTTTTGAGTACTTTGATTTTTCTCAGAAAAATATATATCATTATTACCTTGATGAAAGATTAAGAAACAAAATGATTTAAGTAAAACAAAAAATTTGTATGTTTTAAGAAAACAAAATTATTACTTTAGTAACTTATACAAGAAGTAGTCATACAAATGACACATTTAGCAAGTGACAATTAAAAGTATTAGTCTATATTTGTAGATAAGGACAACAATAAGAATGAACTTAAATTTTAATTTTCTGTAAGTTTCAAAAGACACAAGTTAAATTTCTATATTAATTATATTTTGGGGGTGCTATAAAAAATTTGTAGGGGCCACCCCTGCATGAAAGGGTAGCCTTGATGTTTCATGCTGCCAATTAATATAGATCTGCCAAAATTATTTACAAATGCAGTGATTCACTGGCCTGCAGTAAAGAGCAAAGGTGTTGCTTTGGTTAGTTCAATTTTTCCTGAATACTTTTTAATTCTTTTGGATTACTTCAAGTTACCCAGAATACTTTTTATGTGTTTTGGATTTATAAATGGAATTGAGTTAGTGGCCTTATATTGGATTGATCTCTTTCTCTCTGGAGAAACAAATCAGTGGTCGGGTAGAGTTGGCAGGTTTAGCTATTGGCTCTTCTGACCAGCGGTAAAGACAATGATAATCTATTGATAATGTAGGGAATGGCATTTCCATTAAAGTTACTGTGGCATTTGTGATCCCATAATCTTTAGTTCATCAATATATGTGTTTTTTATTGTTATTCTCTAGGCTCATTTTTCTTCCCAAATTGATGTGACTTTTGCATTATGAATGGCATGCGGTCCCAATTTCCAAATAGTAACAATGCACTCATCAGGAAATAGAAAATTGGTGAATGTTTGTGGGGGGTTTGCGATTTTCACAAATATTCTTATGAAGAAGATTGACAACTTGTGAAGATGGGTAGCTCCAGTAACTCTTCCGCATTTTACTGGATCCACACCGTTGTTCCTTTAGGCAGGAACTCTGAAGTGTTTCTACAATATAATATTGGTTCTTCTGACCAGCGGTATAGGCAATGGCACCATTATTGATACCGTATGCTGCATGCATAATAACACTGTAATGTGTGATTCTATCTTTCAAATTGCATAGAGACATTATTGTTTGTTTGGAAACACCAAATCGGTGTCCTGAAATCCAAAATTGGAGGAAGAACTATATTTTCTCAAATTCCAATTTCGAAACGCCGATTCGGTACTTCCAAACATTATAAGTCTTTCATACCTAGCTACCCCTAAACCAACTGCTTGAAGAGAAACAAAGAAAACTAGGAGGGAGAGATATAAAATTAATCAGAATTTCGAACCAGATTTCTCCTTTCATCTTTAGAAAGAAAGAAATAGTATTACAATTGTATTTTTTCAGAACTAGTTTTGTTTCCTTAGCATATTTGGCATTCCTTTGTACCCATGAAAGATAATGAATTTTTTTGTAAATCTGCAAAACTAGATGAAGAGAAAGCAATGCTCATTAATTATCAATTAAAAAAATCTAGCTGGATTCTTAAAATATATACTAAATATATGCAAAACTAGATGTAGAGATATTAATCCTCATAAATGATCAGTTAACCAAATCTAGTTGTATTCTCAAATCTATGAAATTTCTGCAAAACAAATGTAGAGATATCAATGCTCATAAAAAATCAATTAACAAAATCTAGTTGGATTCTCAAGATCTATGACATTTCAACAAGCCTGATTGCAAACAAACTTATTTATACCCGATAGTATAATTTTGATCTAATTCCTCCAACTCTATCATTTTGTAAATTGTTTTTAACTACAAATTCAAGATGTGAGAGAGAGTGGTGGGCCCACCAATTTACTCACGCATTTTGAATTCAAAGTTTGTATAGAAAAAACATTTTCTTTTTCTAAACATATATACAAACACTGGACATGTCTCTAATTTTTAATTCTTGCCATTGATGTGCTTTCTACTTTATTAGCATTGAGTGTGTTTAACTGTTTATAATCACAACTTCGACACATAATAAGCACATATATGCAAATGTTGAGCATATTCTGTGGTAGAGGTTAAATGTGTTCAGCATGTATCCATTTGGGAGTAGTTCATAGTTTCCATTCAAATGATACTTTTGCCTAATCATGTCAAAAAATCCCTATTTTTCCCTCTTCTCCTGCCTCTATCAATTTTTTCATTCATTCTTTTTTCTTTTTCTTTTTTATAATAATTATTTTTTCTAAATATGAGAGTTGCATATGGATGCCTCTTATCATTGCTTTGAGCAGTAATTCTACGACAGCACGTAAAAATTTCCAAGAAGGAAAGAGGCCTTAGTGCCCTTCCAGTCAAGAAGTGAGGCCTGTTTATGTGAAATGGTCTAAAGAGGAGTGCCCCTTGTTATGTCAAATATCAAGTATCACCTTTGTCAAGGACAGTATGCATTGACAATTCAGCGGTGTCTAATACCCCATAATGATATTATGTGCAGCAAAGTTGATAGCTTTGAATGGAAAATCATTAGTCTATGCTGTGAATTATGTGCTTCAAAGTTGATAGCTTTCAATGGCAAATCATTAATCTATTCTTTGATGATTATAGTTAATAACTGGGACATGTAATACCCCTCAAACAAATTTAATAAATCAAATTTCATACCCCTGAAATGCGTCAATGGGCTTGCTTTATCTTTAGAGGGCATTGCTGGTTCAATCTGTCTGAGTAGAGCCTTCATCAAATTCTGTCAGACTAGCAACAATATAAAGGATAAATAAGACAGTCCATCTTACCCTCCTCTCTTTCTGGTTGATATGTATCACTCTCTCATCAACAGAAAGCAAAGTTATAAAAAAAAGATAGGACATCTGAAGAGAAAGTTACTAGAAAGTCAAAACTCTTACTTGTGTGTGTTTAGTTACTTGTTCCTGGCTTATTACCCTATAATTTCTGTTTGAACTGTTGGCATATAAATATCCCTATTTCAGTTTCCAAATTTTGGCATCCTTATATTTCTGCTTTTAATGATTCATGCAGTTTATCACACCATGGCAAGCTGTTCATGGGCCCATTCAAGACGAACGGGGCAGTGTGACAAAGCATCTTCAACGTTGATGGCAATTCAAGGGCATAATCAGCTATTGTCTCCAAGTTTGTGCATTGGGAATACTGGAATCTTGAATACGTAGTTTTTTTGTGTATTCCAAATCGTTGCACTCCTGCGGGTTAAATTGTTATATTGCTATTTCAGGCCATAGTGTTTTCAGTACGTCTTTCTGTTGATTTTGTTGGAACCGACCCAGAATTATTAATTGCGGACTGAACCTAAACTGGGGATGATTGCAGGTGTGCATTTGGATGTCCTCATTGATGTCAACATTTTCAGGAACTCTTTCATTCATGATATACTGTTTGCCCACACAGCTCAACTGGTTAGGCTCTGGAAACGTGAGGTCTGGACTTAAACGATGCAGGTGGTTTTCACTCAATTATGCGCATTCAGCGCTTGCAAACTCTCGAAGAGTCCAAAGTGACTAGCAAAAGAAAATTTCTTCTTTTACCATGCTCTACATTGATTCTAATAAAATCTTGCCTGTTTCTTGACATTTATTTCATACTGTAAACTTGAAATGGTGCATTATCTTATCATCATGTGCTTTGCCAATGGCTTTCAGGGTTCTGAAGGAATTACATATCAAAGTTCTACCGTACATACAAGCATTTGAAGATATAGAATGCCAGTAATAGCAGAAGAAGATGGTTTAATCTTGGAAACACAGTTTTGACTGGAATAAAATCGAGTTACTTTTGAATTCTCTGATCAAGGTGCCTAGACAAAAATAAATAAATAAATAAAACTTTGGAAAAGAAGTGTGTACAGAACAGATTCATCTTTTCTGGTTAAATTTCCGGAATGGGATTTAATATATTGTGCATCAGGACTTGGTAAGAGGATATGATTAAACGTATTGAAAATTTGAAACAAAAATAAAAAAAATAAAAAATTGCCATAGAGATGGTTGAATCATTCATCCAAATGTAAGCGGTTTCTTAACAAGTTCTGATCTACCTAATTTCTTGAAAGTCCTAATAAATTCAAATAATCCGGTGCTAGAACAATTTCATAACAAAAGCTGAATTCTGGGTGTACCCAGAAAACTACTATTATTTGAAAGCCAGTCTTCACCTAACTTCGGAAATCTTAAGAAACACATTTAGCTTGTAATCAAAGTTTTAGAGAAGAAAGCTATCTGTAAATAAACAAAAGTTATATAGCCTTCAATTTGCATCCAAGCATTACATTTAGCGCAACAAAGTTTTCCCATCCTGCAAGACAAAGTAAACTCATCAGCAAAGCAAAAGCTGAGAGAGTTTTTAAGGATGTTTTCTATGGTGTTTGGATTATCCGCTAATAAACAACTGACGACAGAAAAAAAGGTTTCTTTTTTGACAGGAGAGCTTTGATTGATTGATTGACTGGTGGGTTTGGATGGTCCCGCGCATTTCGTAGGCTTCACTTGTGAATTTCCGAACCAAAACGTCTGTGTATTTAATGAGGGCTTGTAACTGCTGTTTCACAGGTCGAGTTTCTAAAACCCATTGGAAGCACAACCATTCACAGGTACTCTTTCTTCTCAAAAATATTCATTACCCATTTTGGATTTCTCTGATACAAAAAGCTGTTTTTGCTTGATTTTGTGCTTGCGATAGGGATCCGGAGAAACCATGGACAACCCATCAACAAGCAATGCTAACAACCTTCAGTCTCAGGTATGCCCATATCAGTCTACTTTTTTAATTATGCCTAATTTCTCCATTAGAGTTATTTTTCCTAGATGGGTATTTTATTGTTTTTGAAATTTTCTCACTCTATACAATACCGACATGAACTTCTTATTTTATTTATTTATTTATTTTTTTTTTTTGGGGGGTGGTTGGTAAATTGACCGACAAACATCAATCCTGTCTCTTAGCTGAAGATGCTAAGTTGGTATCTTCACAACATAGCCCAATGAATCATCTGTTGACTCTTGCCACTTAACAAACTCGTACAGAACAAAAGGACACCAGTACAAACAAAGCTTAGTAATGCCATTGTCAGTCCCTTCCAGAACTCTCTTCTTCCTCATTTGTTGATTACTGTTTTATCACATATTCTAACACAAAATTGTATTGCCAAACTAGAACTATACAGCAGATATACCCTTACAAAACAGATCGCTCAAAAAATAAACCATTTCCAAAAGCTATTTTTGGTAAATAAGATTTTATTCAAAGGCAAAGCCTAACAAGACCAACATAATACATCAGCAAAATCAAAATAGAGTCTCGGAGTTGCCACTCTACTTGAATGTGTCTGTTGGAAATAGTAGCAGGAAACCCATACAAAGAAGAGATCATGAACCTCGCAGCATTAGAAATTTTAGAAACAACATTACTGGCATTTTGACAAACATTGTTGAGACGGTGGATGATAAAAAAAGGCTTCAAATTACCAAATTCTAAATATGTATGGACAAGAAAAGAAAATATGATTATGATCCTCCAAAATACACACACAGAAATGACAAGACATTGAAGAAATAATACCAAGTTTAACTAGCTTATCTTGAGTAGAAAGTCTAGAATAAAAAGCTGACCACACGATGAAAATCAATCTGGGAACATACTAGAGAACCATAGAAGATGAGACCAACTAACTTTCATATTTGGAGGATTAAAGAGCAAAATCAACAAACTCCTACAAACAAAAGGACACCAGTACTAACAAAGCTTAGTAATCCCATTTTCAGTTCTTTCCATTGTCCTCTTCTTCCTCATTCCGATTACTCTTCCCATTACACCAAGTTTCATTACAGATTCTATCACAAACTAGAATATACCCCAGCACATTAAAGTGGTATTGATTTCATTATCATTTAATAATGACTTTAGTATGGTTACTCTTGGGACTAACCATAGCTTTTATGGCCTTCTCATCTTCACTAGCTTTTTCAACATCTAAGCTAAAGTTACCAATCTCTGCTATTTCAGCTGCATCTGCATTGCTGCCAAATCCTCCTCAGTCCTCTCCTCTAACTCTCTCTCTAGACATTGCTCCATTGGTAGATGGGTATATTACTGTTTTGAAAATTCTCTCTATGCAATATGGGCCTACCTGAACCTTTTCTTTTTGGCAAATAGGCCACTATTTGGAAGGTAGCTGTGGTTTAAGACAGGACAGGTGAAGTTAGTTGATGGCATTTTTATGTGTTATCCCCAAAATCAGAATTTTGGAGTCGTCGGTTCATTCTGAGGTGTAAAACATGCAAATAAACTGCAAAGAAATGTGCTTTTAGTTTGAACTGGTATTGGGAATAATGCCTGTGGTCTAGTTTTTCAGCCTCGTGATTGTCAATAAAAATTATGAAATTAGGGAAGATGGAATGTTTCAGATTATGCTTGTGTGAAGGCAACTAATGTTGTCTCTCTCGGAGCTTTGGCAACCACCGTAGGAGGTGAGATGTTGCACCCATTTCAAGGGGGGTGTGACACTTCTCAGTTTGTGCATTACATTTATCCTATTTACCATTTTTGTATCGTGACACGATGTTCTACATGAATCCAAATTGGAAGGACATCATAAATCTTAATATGTTTTTGCAACTTTTGAGTTTCATTGTTTGCTGTATTCCTCTTCTATGAAATTTTCTTTTCCAAGCAATGGCACATATATACCCGGTCAACAAGGATATGGGTAGGGTTGATCTATGATATACTAAATCAATCAGTGCTATTGGTGTCTATGTTTAAAACATGATCTCATACCGGTTTTAGTCTTTGAACAACTGCTTTTTCCTGACAGAACCCAAATGAAAACATGAACAACTCAAGGAGCGGTCTTGTTACTAATATTATACTGAATCATGACTTCTCTGGAGGGCTGCAGTCATGGCACCCCAATTGCTGTGATGGCTTTGTTGTTCCTGCTGAGTCGGGTCACCCTGAAGGAATAACAACAAAGGGAAGCAGCAATTATGCTGTTATTACAAATCGTACAGAATGTTGGCAAGGCTTGGAGCAAGACATCACAGGAAGAGTTTCCCCAGGCTCTACTTATACAGTTTCGGCTTGTGTTGGAGTATCAGGGCCTCTTCATGGTTTCTCCAACATTCAGGCAACAGTGAAACTAGAATACCAAGATTCAGCCACTAGCTATCTATTTATTGGAAGGTAGTGAATTTTGGTCCACATTATGACAGCCCTTTTTTTTATCTAAGGAAACAACTGTGCTAATGGCAATCACCACATGCAGAATTTCTGTATCAAAAGAGGGATGGGAGACATTGGAAGGCACATTTTCGATGTCTAGCATGCCAAACCGAGTTGTATTTTACTTGGAAGGGCCTTCTCCTGGAGTAGACCTTCTCGTAAAATCAGTGGTGGTATCATGTGCCAGTCCAAGTGATTGTGAGGGAATAGACCTCGTAAAATCAGTGGTGGTATCATATGCCAGTTCAAGTGATTGTGAGGTACATATGTTATATGATCTGTTTTCCCTTTTGTTCAGCTTGAAAACAAGGACTTTAGTGAGAAAAAGTGGACGATACAATGATTTGTTGATAAAATGGAATAAGCAGATAAGAGTTAAAGTGCATTAACCAAATCTAGTTACGTAGAAAATATTTTGAAGTTACTAGCTTTTTAAATTTGTAACCAATGGAAATCTGGATTAGTTTTCTTTTTCTTTTTTCTTTTTTCTTTTTTTGTCACCGCAATACTTTGTGATACGTACATTTCTTTCTCATTATTTAGAATACAAGCAGAGGATCTATCACTGCTGGAGATGATAACATCATACTAAATCCCAGATTTGAGGATGGCCTCAATAATTGGTCTGGAAGAGGCTGCAAGATTCTTTTGCACGATTCTATGGGAGATGGAAAAATTCTTCCCATCTCTGGAAAGTTCTTTGCATCTGCGACAGCACGCACACAAAGCTGGAATGGAATTCAGCAGGAAATAACTGGAAGAGTGCAGCGAAAGCTTGCTTATGAGGTTACTGCTGTTGTGCGGATATTTGGTAACAATATCACTAATGCGGATGTTCGGATTACATTGTGGGTTCAAGCACCGGATCTTCGTGAACAGTACATAGGCATTGCAAAGTAAGTTCTTTTTGCTTATGTAATACATTTTGTGGAAACTCTTTGAACGGTATATAATCACTCTTTAAACAGCATATAACCATCAGAAACTGTTTCCAGTTTTTACAAATTGTATCCCACATACTGTAATTCTAGAGTTACTACAGTTGTGTTGCAATAATTTGGTTAGTTATCATATGAAACATATTCAACAGTTCTGAAATTTAATCGTGGAACACTTCCTAATATCCCTTTTTCTATTTTAATTTAATTCAATTTTTTTTTGTTTTCCATACTAGAAATCTACTTTATAGAGGCCATTGTGCACTAGTAAATGCTCAGCTGTCAAAGCGTAAGAATGCAGATATGTGCAAATTATGCCAAATATTAGGGTTGTCTCCAGTCTCCCATTCCCAGCACTCTTGACTAACGAAGAGCATGCTGGGTAATGACCCTTTACTGGAAATCTACTTTATAATGTAAAACTTTTCAGTTGCAAAAAATATATATATATTTTTTGCAATCTTTTGTCCCTGTATGTTGCCTTACTGTAAAATCTGAGTTCCGAGTATATTCCATTTTCATAAAGTGGTTCATGATGCTTATACAAGTGCAGTGCAGTGTTTTGTATGATGGAAATTCCTGTAGTCTAGGCATTCCACATGCAAATTGGCCTTGATGCAAATAATTTTGTTTCTTTCTTTGCCAATTCATACTCACAACATAGTGAATTGTTACAGTTTCCTTCACATTATTTAAATTTTTATCCTTACTCATTAGTTTAAGGCTTCACATTCCTTAAATTAGTAAAAGGAAGCTGGTTTTGTTCTGAAGCTTGCAGGCAACAGACAAGGATTGGGTACAGTTGCAAGGAAAGTTTCTTCTAAATGGTTCCCCTTCAAGAGTAGTCATTTATTTAGAAGGTCCACCTGCAGGAACTGATATTCTCATCAATAGTTTAGCTTTAAAGCATGCGGAGAAAATTCCTCCTTCACCTCCACCTGTTATTGAGGTTGGTTGAATTAGTTATTTTGGACTAGGAATTTCCACGTGTTGAATCTGATGCACACACTATTAAATTTGAATTCGTGTTTTTTAAATCAAATATCATTTTATTTGTTTTGTAGGATGCTGCTTTTGGAGTTAATATAGTTGCAAACAGCAACGCTGTTGATGGAACCAATGGCTGGTTTCCGCTTGGGAATTGCACTTTAAGTGTTGGAATTGGTTCACCACATATACTTCCTCCAATGGCAAGAGATACCCTTGGACCTCATGAACCTCTGAGTGGGCAGTACATTCTTGTTACTAAGCGAACCCAAACTTGGATGGGTCCTGCTCAGATGATCACTGACAAACTGAAACTCTATTTAACATACCAAGTATCGGCATGGGTTCGAATTGGTCACGGAGCAACTGGCCCTCAGAATGTGAATGTTGCACTTAGTGTGGATAACCAGTGGGTAAATGGGGGCCAAGTTGAGGTTAGCGATGACAGATGGCATGAAATTGGTGGGTCCTTTCGGATTGAGAAGAAGCCAGACAAGGTGATGGTTTATATTCAAGGTCCTGCGGCAGGTGTTGACTTAATGCTTGCTGGCCTTCAGATTTTTCCCGTTGATCGTCATGCAAGATTTAAACATTTAAAGAGGCAGATTGATAAGGTAATTAATAGGATATAAGAAAATCACTGAATTGCCTTTTCACTTCACTGATAGGAAATATGAGATGCTATTTACTTAAATGAACCTGAAGCATTTGAAAATATATCTGCCAAGTAGAAATTATCTTAGCTTTTGCCCTGGCATATTCACATATTTGAATGAAGGACCCACCATCATATTATCACTTTATGAAAAGAAACCCCCTCATCTTCGATTAGGTACTTTACATTCAGAATAAACAGGCCTCATCCAACTGCAACGTCGATTTAAAAAAATATATATATCAAGTATCTGAATTAATAAATCCCTTATTATATAACTTATTAATGTGCTAGATGAATGAGTGATTGAATCCTTATGAACATTGAGCATTGTTAGCTTAATTGTGATTTGAAATAGTTCGCATCGTTCTACCATGCAGATACGCAAGCGTGATGTCATCCTGAAGTTCTCAGGATCAGGTTCTGGCAGTTTGTCTGGCACCTTTGTGAAAGTCACGCAATTGCAAAATACTTTTCCCTTTGGATCATGTATAAGCAGAACAAACATAGACAATGAAGATTTTGTTGATTTCTTTGTTAAAAATTTCAATTGGGCTGTCTTTGGAAATGAATTGAAGTGGTATTGGACAGAGCCACAACAAGGAAGCTTCAACTACAAGGATGCTGATGAGCTCTTGAACTTATGTGTGAGTCGTAACATTCAACCCCGTGGTCACTGTATCTTCTGGGATGTTCAGGGCACAGTTCAATCATGGATACAGGCTCTGAACAAAAATGACTTGATGACGGCTGTCCAAAACCGTCTGACAGGCCTTCTCACTCGCTACAAGGGGAAGTTCAAGCACTACGATGTCAACAACGAGATGTTGCATGGTTCATTTTATCAAGATAGATTGGGTAAAGATGTCCGAGCAAACATGTTCAAGACTGCAAACCAACTTGATCCATCTGCCACGCTATTTGTGAATGATTATCATGTTGAGGACGGCTGTGACACCAGATCATCTCCAGAAAAGTACATCCAACAAATTCTTGATCTGCAAGAACAGGGTGCTCCTGTGGGGGGAATTGGAATTCAAGGACATATAGATAGTCCAGTTGGGCCTATCGTTTGTTCTGCTTTGGATCAATTGGGCATTCTTGGTCTTCCAATCTGGTTCACAGAGCTCGATGTGTCTTCCATTAATGAGTATGTTAGAGCTGATGATTTGGAAGTTATGCTTCGCGAAGTTTATGCACATCCTGCTGTGGATGGTGTAATGTTGTGGGGATTTTGGGAGCTGTTTATGAGCCGAGACAACTCACATTTGGTGAACGCTGAAGGTGATATCAACGAAGCTGGTAAAAAGTACCTTGCTCTTAAGCGAGAATGGCTGTCCCATGCTCATGGGCATATCGACGAGCAAGGACAATTTGTGTTTAGGGGTTTCCAGGGGTCATATGAAGTGGAAGTTGTCAACTATAGTAAGAAAGTTTCCAAGACATTTGTTGTTGAGAAAGGTGAGTCACCACTGGTGGTATCCATAAACTTATAGCATTTAATGAATTCTTGCTTCACCCAATAAAAAAATAAAAAATGAAAAAACCATGCTTCATGTGGTACATTTTATGTTTCTGTGGGAAGAAGAATACTTTTGGTAACTTACAGTGTTACCTTGTTGTTATTGGTTGTGTAAATAAACTTGTGCAGAATGTTTGTCTGTTGCTTCCACTGTAACATTCAGAGCAAGGAATAAAGAATCGGTTGTGTTGTTTACTTGTTTGTGATATTCTTCTATTGATTGGGCTTGGTTTTTCTTGATGGTAAATTGGAGAGTTGGTTTTGGAGGAGGACATTGCTAATTAAATAAATGTTATTTATTATGTATTTATTTAATAAGGCAATTATAAATTTTATTAATTTATAATTTAGATGATAATGCTATGCAAAGATCCTAAAAATTTATTATGTTAGATGTGTAATTACAGTCTTACCTTGTAATTATAATTATATTTTTATATATGAAAAAGTGTCACATAATTATAATAATTTTTTAATAAAAAAAAAGGTTGAACATTTTGAAGCGTGTTCATTTTATTTTCAATATTGTTATGTGCTTACCTTATACGGAGTATATAAGACTTGCATTGGAGGTAGAAATTTGTTGGTTAAAGGTTCTAGATATATTCACAAGAACACAAAGCATTTGAGAAGTGTCGCTAAATATACTTATGGAATGACAAGCATCAGTTAAAAAATATTTCATGGAAATGTCAGTGTTTAACACAAATTTTTTTTTTCACTTGTAATTAGCCGGTGGCCATGGGGTCCAACGAACAAATCCTCAAGCAATACATAACCTGTTGACAATATTGCTATTAAAACAGTTCTCATACAATACATTGCTACAGAGTACAGAGAGTATATTTGAAATGAAAATTCATTTCACAATTAAACCTATAGAATCATGGTTCCATTCTCAATAATTTTTTTTTAAGAAACTAAATTCCCAAAATCCTTCATATTTCAAATCCAAAAACACTGCCACTGCCTTCCACCGCCACCTCCACCTCCACCTTCTACGACCGCCACTTCCACCATCATCACTGTCATTACTACTGCCTTCACCTTTCACTGCCACCATCACACTGCCGTCACCGTCATTACCACCGTCATTACTACTGCATCCACTGCCTTCCACCATGGCCGTCTTACACCACCACTACCACCACTGGCTCTCACCACCTCCTACACCATTATCGCCTTCTACCAACAACTTCCTCCACTGTCATCGACGTCTTCCAACACCACCACCTAAACCACCTTCGCCTTTCACCTCCATCACCATTGTGGCCATTTCTTTTAAAAACAATATTTGTCACTAAGAGTTATTTTAGAGAATTTGAAATTTTTTTATTTTAAATTTTAAATTGATTTAACGAAATACGGTATTAGAATAACTATTATTATTTTATCATATGAAATGTAAATAAAGAAAAGTTGAACAAGAAAAATACAAATATATTATGTGGTTGAGCCACGAAGGCTTACATTCATGACATAAAGAGTTCAAATGACTACATCATTTTTATAATACTCTCTCAATTCATATACAATACAATGGTGGAAACTTCTTTATATAGGAGAAGAAATTATGAGAATGGAAAGAACTAGAAAATAGGAAACAAGAAAGATTTTTTTTCCATTAAATCTTCAATGCTCCTTCTCAAGTTGAGTATGAATGCCCAACTTGCCATTGAAATGACGAATAATAACAAGTGTGAATGATGAAGAGAGAAGACGATGAACAATGCTACCAAATACACTGACAACCCAAACAAATCAACAAAAACCTGTTGGAGACACGGCAAAAGGGAGGACAATGTTACCGAACACACCGGCAGCTCAAACAAATCAATAAAAACTGTCGAAGATACGGCAAAGATGAAGACAATGCTACCAAACACACCGGTAACCCAAACAAGTCAATAAAAACTGTCGGAAACACGACAAAGGCGAATAACATTATTGCTGAACAAACCGGCAGTCGAAATAAGTCACAAATAGCACTAAAAAACCCTTAACAACATTTCAGAAGTTAAGGGAATACTCCAGAATAGAGGTCCGAACCTATGAAAAAAAATTAGATTCTAAGCATAAAACGAAAGCGAAGTGATAAATAAAACAAGTAGAGTATATAGATATTACGTGATTTATGCACTAAAACATACATTCATGGCACAAAAAACCCAAATAATTTCATCATTTTTATAATACTTTCTCAATTTATATACAATACAATGATAAAGACTTTATATATGAAAAGAAAGTACGAGAATGAAAAGAATTAAAAAAATAGAAACATGAAATTTTTTTCTCCTAATTCCCCCCATTAAATTTCCAATAATTACTGCATCATTTCATATTTCTAATTAAACAATAAAACACACTCATCCAATTTCCACTTGCAATTAGTTTTTCTTACCATTTCTTTAACTGTCTAGGACTCCCTACCCCGCTTGCCATGAAAGAAAGATACCAGCAACGGGTCTGTCTTCAGAGGTACTCTTTGTGCTCGATTTCTCCTCAAATAATATCGATACCCATTTTAGATTTTCTGATAAAAGAGTTGTTTTTGCTTGATTCTGCGGTTACCTTAGGGATTCAGAGAAACCATGGACAAACCATCCACCAGCAATAATGCTAAAAGACTTCATTTTGAGGTATGCCCACATCGCCGTTTTTCTATTTACTGAGATGGGTTTTCTTCTGTGCCTAATCCATGTTCATTAGAGTCGTTTTCATTGTGTTTACACCCTAAACACTTCCAATTGAGCTACGTGAATCTTGATTTTCGTAAAATAGGCCATCATTTGGATGTTAGATGTGGTTTAATTCAGGACTTTTGAAGTTAAGAACTGGATTGAACTTTTTTACTTTGTTTTGGGTTTTTTGGTTCGCTGCGAACTGTAAAATATGCAATTGAACTGCAAACAGAAGTGGTTTAGTTTTTAGCCCCAGGACTGTCAGTTAAAGCTGTAGGGAAAACAAAATATTTCAAATTTATTGATGTATGAGGACAACTATTTATTTATTTTTTTTCCTGGTAAGGTGAAAACAACTACTCCGTAATTTTTTCAGTCATATATCTAAATAATAGTTTGAGCCTTAATCAGTGACTTCTGCCATTTTGAGTTTATTTTTTCGCTGTAAAATTTTAATTTGAGCTCTGGCACATCATCATATTTTGACAAGAAGTAGATGGATAGGGATGATATATGATATACTATTTTGATCAGTACTACTAGTGTCTATGTAGGAACATGATCTCATAACAATTTAGTCTTTGAACTTCCGTTTTTTTCCTGACAGAAATCAAATGAAAACATGAACAACTCAAGGAGTAGTCTTATTAATTACTAATATTATACTGAACCATGACTTCTCTAAAGGGATCCAGTCATGGCACCCCAATTGTTGCGATGGTTTTGTGGTTCCATTCGGATCTGGTTACGTTAATTATTTATGCTGTTATTGGAAATAGCAAAGAATGCTGGCAAGGTTTGGAGCAAGACACCACGGGAAGAGTCTCAACAAGCTGATATGGTGCATTTTCATTGGGTGGGCATACCAACGGTGTGGTATACCTGATGTACCCTATATGTTCTCCTATTTGCATCCAAACATTCATAAAGTGCAAGAAAGGTTTCCCAACTTGCAAGACAAAGTAAACTCATCAGCAAAGCAAAAACTGAAAGTTTTGAGCCATACTCTTTCAAAGAAAAAAAGGAGGGCGTTTTCTTGGAATATGAAATTTATTGATTAGTTAGTATGGCGTTTGGATTACCCAGATAGACAACTGAAGACAAAAGGTCACTGTTTTGTCAGAAGTGCTTTGATTGGTTGGTGGGTTTTGATGGTCCCACGCATTTCGTAGGCTTCACTTCAGAATTTCAAACCAAACGTCTATATATAATGAAGAGGGTTTGGACCTATTGCTTCACAGGTCGAGTTTTTAAAACCCATAGGAGGCACAACCATTCACAGGTACTCTTAATGCTCTGTTGTTGTTCTCAAAGACATTCATACCCTTTTTGAATATCTCTGATACAAAAGCTGTTTTTGCTTGATTTTGTGGTTGCGCTAGAGACCGACAGAAACTATGGGCAACTCATCAACAAGCAATGCTAATAGCCCTCATTCCCAGGTATACCCATATTGGTTTAGCTTTTTACTGAATTGGTATTCTTTTTATGCCTAATATTCTTCATTAGAGTTGTTCAGATGAATTTTTTCTTACTCGCCATTTGAGATTTTGGTGGGGGGATGGGGGGTTGTCTATCTAATTGCCGTGCGACCAAATGGGGGCGGAGGGTTTGATGTGGTCTAAGATAGGACAGGTGACGGTAGTTGAATTGAACAAAGTGAATTAAACCTAATGCTTTGTGTTAGCATATATGTATTATATGATAGCCACGATTTATGGAATGACTTACCATATTAGCATAGATTTGTTTATGCATATGTTAGCATATATGATAGTCATGATTTATGGAATGACTTACCATATTAGCAAAGATTTGATTTAGTTTCTTTTCTTGTAATATGAGCATGTGTTTTTATTTTATCTATAAATATTAGAGTTATGAATGAGTGATATATATCATTCAAGCCTTTACATATTATATATCTCATTCAAATCTTTTACATATTTCTGTTCTCTTTCTTCTATGTTGTATTTCTACTTGGTATCAGAGTCAGGGTGATCCAACTGCAATGAGGGCATTGCGAGTTCGGCACCACCCATTCGGGAATGGTCTAAGATGACATCATCCATCCGAGAGGTGTCGGGTAGGCAGGGTGATCCGACCTCAATGAGGGTGTTGCAATGAGGGCATTGCGAGTTCAGCACCACCCATTCAGGAATGGTCTAAGGTGAGATCACCCATCCGGGAGGTGTCGGGTAGGCAGGGTGGTCTGACCTCAATGAGGGTGTTGCGAGTTTGACACCACCTATTCAAAAATGGTCTAAGGAGACAGTTGTTTCTTTTTATGGTCTGAGGAGACATTGTTGATTCTTTCTTCTACATTGTTTAAACAACTGTATAAAGGGGAATGGTCTGAGGAGACATTGTTGATTCTTCCATCTACATGTTTTAAACATGTGAAGGGGAATGATCTGAGGAGACATATTGTTGGTTGTTTATGGTCTGAGGAGATATATTGTTGTTTGTTTACGGTCTGAGGAGGCATTGTTGGTACGGTCTGAGGAGACATTATTAATTGTTTTTGGTTTGTTGATCGACATTTTTAATCTAGTCAGATTTGCACTCTACAACTTGTAGATTCTGAAGAAGGGTGCTAGCAAGATCCTGTTTGAAGATGCGTTGTCCAAGTTGGGCGTTTCAGATATCCACGCACCAACTTGAGGGGGAGTGTTAGCATATATGATAGCCACGATTTATGGAATGACTTACCATATTAGTATAGATTTGCTTATGCATATGTTAGCATATATGATACTCATGATTTATGGAATGACTTGCTATATTAGCTGAGATTTGATTTAGATTTGATTTAGTTTCTTTTCTTGTAATATGAGCATGTGCTCTTATTTTATCTATAAATACTAGAGCTGTGAATGAGTGATATATATATAATTCAAGCCTTTACATATTATAAATCTCATTCAAACTTTTTACATATTTCTCTTCTCTTTCTTCTATATTGTATTTCTACTCACTTTTATCTGTTAATCCCCAAAAGCAGAATTTGGAATTAATTGTGAGCTGTAAAATATGCAAATGAATGGCAAAGAAATGCGCTTTTAGTTTGAACTGGAGTAGGGATTAATGCCAGTGGTTTAGTTTTTCAGCCTCATGATTGTCAGTTAAAATTAGGGAAGATATAATGTTGAAGATTATGGGTGTGTGAAAACAACTAATGCTGTCTCTCTCGGAGCTTTGGCAACCACAGTATAGGAGGTGTGATGTACATGCACCCATTGCAAGGTTCTGTGACGCTTCTCAGTTTGTGCATTACAATTATCCTATATATTATGTTCGTATAGCGACACGATGTTCTACATGAATCCACATTGGAAGGACATTTTAATATGTCTAAATGATAGTTTGAGCCTTAAGAAAGAACTTGTGATTTCTGCAACTTTGAGTTTCATTGTTTGCTGTATTCTTCTTCTATGAAAAAAAATTATTTTGAGCAATGGATCAGTGCTATCAGTGTCTATGTTTGAACATGGTCTCATATAAGTTTTGTTTAAACCTCCCTTTTTTCTACTGACAGAACTCAAATGAAAACATGAACAACTCACTTGTTAATAATATTCTACTGAACCATGACTTCTCTGGAGGGCTGCATTCATGGCACCCCAATTGCTGCGATGGCTTTGTGGTTCCAGCTGAGTCAGGTTATGCTGTCATTACAAATCGTAAAGAATGTTGGCAAGGCTTGGAGCAAGACATCACAGAAAGAGTTTCCCCAGGCTCCAATTATACTGTTTCAGCTTGTGTTGGAATATCAGGGTCTCTTCAGGGATTCGACAACATTCAGGCTACACTGAAACTAGAACGCCAAGACTCGGCCACTAACTATCTGTGTATTGGAAGGTATTGAACTTTGCTCCCCTTTATGATGGCCCTTTTTCTATCTAAGAAAACAACCGTGCTAATGGCAGTCACCACATGCAGAATTTCTGTATCAAAAGAGGGATGGGAGACATTGGAAGGCACATTTTCTCTGTCAAGTATGCATAATCGAGTTGTATTTTACTTGGAAGGGCCTTCTCCTGGAGTAAACCTTCTCATAAAGTCAGTGGTGATATCATGTGCCAGTCCAAGTGACTGTAAGGTACATATGTTATATAATCTGTTTCCCTTTTGTTCAGCTTGAAAACAAAGACTTTATTGAAAGTAAGGGGACGATGCAATGATTTATTGATTGAATCCACATTCGAAGGACATCATAATATGTCTCAGTAATAGTTTGTGACTTGAGAAGCAACTTGTGGTTTCTGCAACTTCAAGTTTCATTGTTTGTTGTATTCTTCTTGTATGAAATTTTTTTATTGTGAGCAACGGACATAGATACCTGGTCAACAACGATATGGGTAGGGTTGATCTATGATAAGCTAAATGAGTCAGTGCTATCAGAGTCTATGTTTGAACATGATATCATATCAGTTTTATTCTTTGAACCTCCCTTTTTGTAATGACAGAATTCAAATGAAGACATGAACAACTCTAGGAATAGTCATGTTACAAATATTCTACTGAACCATGACTTCTCTGGAGGGCTGCAGTCATGGCACCCCAATTGCTGTGATGGCTTTGTAATTCCTGCTGAGTCGGGCCACCCTGAAGTAATATCATCAAAGGGAAGCGGCAGTTATGCTTTTATTACAAATCGTACAAAATATTGGCAAGGGTTGGAGCAAGACATCACAGGAAGAGTTTCCCCAGGCTCCGCTTATAAAGTTTCGGCTTCGGTTGGAGTATCAGGGTCTCATGGTTTCTCCAACATTCAGGCGACATTGAAACTAAAATACAAAGATTTAGCCACTAGCTATCTATGCATTGGAAGGTATTGAATTTTGCTCTCCTCTATGACAGCCCTTTTCTATAAGAAAACAACTGTGCTAATGGCAGTCACCACATGCAGAATTTCTGTATCAGAAGAGGGATGGAAGACTTTGGAAGGCACATTTTCTCTGTCAAGCATGCCTAACCGAGTTGTATTTTACTTGGAAGGGCCTTCTCCTGGAGTAGCTCTTCTCATAAAATCAGTGGTGATATCAGATGCCAGTCCAAGCGATTGTGAGGTGCATATGTTATATAATCTGTTTACCCTTTTGTTCAACTTGAAAACAAGAACTTTAGTAAAAGAAAAGGGCACAATACATTCTGATACGTAGTTTGCTTTCTCATTATTTAGAATACAAGCACTGGATGTATCAATGCTGGAGATGAGAACATCTTACTAAATCCCAGATTTGAGGAGGGCCTCAATAATTGGTCCGGAAGAGGCTGCAAGATTCTTTTGCATGACATTATGGGAGAAGGAAAAATTCTTCCATTCTCTGGAAAATTCTTTGCATCTGCAACAGATCGCACACAAAGCTGGAATGGAATTCAGCAGGAAATAACTGGAAGAGTGCAGCGAAAGCTTGCTTATGAGGTTACTTCTGTTGTGCGGATATTTGGTAACAATATCACTAATGCTGATGTTCGGATTACATTGTGGGTTCAGGCACCGGATCTTCGTGAACAGTACATAGGAATTGCTAGGTAAGTTTGTTTTGCTTATGTCATACATTTTGTGGAAACTCTTTAAACAGTATATGATCATCAGAAAGTGTTTCCAGTTTTTCCAAATTTTATCCCATATACTGTAATTCTAGATTTACTACAGTTGTGTTGCACAAAATTGTTTAGCAATCTTATGAAACATTTTCAACAGTTTTGAATTTTAATTCTTGTGGGACACTTCCTAATATCCATTTTTCTTTTTAATTTCTTTTTTCCATACTGAAAATCTACTTTATTAAGGCCATTGCTTAATGCACTAGTAAATACTTTGGCTTTCAAGCATAAGAATGTAGATTTGAACAAATAATGCTAAATATTAGGTTTATATCCTTTCTCCTCTTCCCAGTACTCTTGATTAACGAAGACCGTGTTGGGTAATGACCATTTACAGGAAATCTACTTTATAACTTAAAAAAAAATTCAGTTGCAAGATCTTTCTTGTAATCTTTTCTCCCTGTACATAGCCTTCACCATATAATTTTTGACTTTGAGTTCCTAGTATATTCCATTTTCATAAAGTGGTTCATGATGATACAAGTAAGTGCAATGTTTTGTATGTTGGACATTCCTCGAGTCTAGGCATCTCACATGCAAATTGTCCGTTCCATTCCTGAACTTATGAAGTTCAGCTACTGCATCCCTTCACTTAAGAAGTTCTGTCCCACAATTCCTGACTCCTAATTAATCTGTGCTCTTTCAGCGTCTCGTCTTGAATAGAGGCATCCCTTTATCTCGATGCAGAAGTAGGAGGAGGGAGTTTTCAGGTAGAGCAGTTTGGTAGCTCACAACGCTCAGATGAGGTCACACGGGTTTGAATCCTTGCTCCGCGTGCAGTTTTTCTTGAGCCATAGAGAATTAGGTAGATAGTGTGGCCTTGGATGAACGTCCTATTTGTGCACCCCGAGAATTTATATATCATTATTTATTTATTTTTTGCTTAATGCAAATAATTTTGTTTCTTTCTTTTTTCAATTCATACTCACAGCATAGTTAGTTATTACAGTTCCCTTCACATCTTCGCATTCCTTAAATTCTTTTTCCTTACTCAATTATTTAAGGCTTCACATTCCTTAAATTGCTGAAAGGAAGCTGGTTTTGTTCTGAAGCTTGCAGGCAACAGACAAGGATTGGGTACAGTTGCAAGGGAAATTTCTTCTAAATGGTTCCCCTTCAAGAGTGGTCATTTATTTAGAAGGCCCACCTCCCGGGACTGATATTCTTATTAATAGTTTAGTTGTAAAGCATGCAGAGAAAATTCCTCCTTCACCTCTACCTGTTATCGAGGTTGGTTGAATTAGTGATTTTGGCTAGGAATTTCCATGTGTTGAATCTGATGTGCACTATCAAATTTGAATTTGTGTTTTTTAAATCAACTATCATTTTATTTGTTTTGTAGAATCCTGCTTTTGGAGTAAATATAATTGCGAACAGCAACCTTGATGATGGAACCAATGGCTGGTTTCCGTTTGGGAATTGCACTTTAAGTGTCGGAACTGGTTCACCACACATACTTCCTCCAGTGGCAAGAGATACCCTTGGACCTCATGAACCTCTGAGTGGGCAGTACATTCTTGTTGCTAATCGAACCCAAACTTGGATGGGTCCCGCTCAGATGATCACTGACAAACTGAAACTCTATTTAACATACCAAGTATCAGCATGGGTTCGAATTGGTGAAGGAGCAACTGGTGCTCAGAATGTGAATGTTGCCCTTGATGTGGATAAGCAGTGGGTCAATGGGGGCCAAGTTGAGGTTAACGATGACATATGGCATGAAATTGGTGGGTCCTTTCGGATTGAGAAGCAGCCAGACATGGTGGTGGTTTATATTCAAGGTCCTGCTCCAGGTGTTGACTTAATGGTTGCTGGCCTCCAGATTTTTCCTGTCGATCGTCACGCAAGATTTAAACATTTAAGAAGGCAGACTGATAAGGTATTAATAGGTTATAAGAAAGTTGAGTTTCCTTGTCAATAGGTAATATGAGATGCTATTAACTTAAATGAACCTATAGCATTTAAAAATCTATCTGCCGAGAATGAATTATTTAGCTTTTGTCCTGGCATATAATGGGGAACCCACCTTCACATTATCACTTTATGAAAAGAAATCTCCTCATCATCTTCAATTGCCTAGGCTATTTTTGCTTGTAGAAAAGTAGATAACTCGAATGAATTTTGATATTTTCTTGATGACACATTCTGTCTTTCTTGGTTGAAGAAAAATGACTTCATCCATGCTGGAAACTTAATCCTCTTGAAGTAGGTTTACCGTAGACACTTCATGTAATTCATATTATGCATTACTGCAATTATAGCATCCTAACATCAAAAGAGAAAAATAAAAGCACTAGCATCATACAAGCATTACATTCATAATATAGAGGCCACATCCAACAGCAAAATAGATTATTTTATTTTATTTTATTTTAAAAAATCAAGTATCTGAATTAATTAGTTTCCAATTGTTTGACTTTTTAATTAATATGCTAAATGAATGTGTGATTGAATCCTTAGGAACATTGAGCATTGTTAGCCTCACTGTGATCTGAAAGAGTTTTCTGCCTTGCAGATACGTAAACGTGATGTCATCCTGAAGTTCTCCGGATCAGATTCTGGCAGTTTGTTTGGCGCCTTTGTGAGAGTCAGGCAATTGCAGAACAGCTTTCCCTTTGGATCATGTATAAGCAGAACAAACATAGACAATGAAGATTTTGTTGATTTCTTTGTGAAAAATTTCAATTGGGCTGTCTTTATGAATGAGTTAAAGTGGAACTGGATGGAGCCAGAACAAGGAGGCTTAATCTACACGGATGCTAATGAGCTCTTGGAGCTGTGTACACGCTGGAACATTCAAACCCGCGGTCACTGCATCTTCTGGGAGGTTGAGGACCAAGTTCAACCTTGGGTTTGCTCTTTGAACACAAATGATTTGAGGACAGCTTATAAAACACGCCTTACCGGCCTTCTCACTCGATACAAGGGGAAGTTCAAGCACTACGATGTGAACAATGAGATGTTGCACGGTTCATTCTATCAAGATAGGTTGGGTAAAGAGATCCGTGCAGACATGTTCAAGAAAGCAAAGCAACTAGACCCATCTGCCGAGCTATTTTTGAATGATTGTCATGTTGAGGATGGATATGACACCAGATCATCTCCAGAGAAGTACATCCAACAAATTTGTGAGCTGCAAAAGCAGGGTGCTCCGGTGGGTGGAATTGGAATTCAAGGACATATAGATAGTCCAGTTGGGCCTATTGTTTGTTCTGCTTTGGATAAATTGGGTGTTCTTGGTCTTCCAATCTGGTTCACGGAGTTAGATGTGTCGTCCATTAATGAGCATGTTAGAGCAGATGATTTGGAAGTCATGCTTCGAGAAGCGTATGCCCATCCTGCAGTGGATGGTGTAATGTTGTGGGGATTTTGGGAGCTGTTTATGAGCCGAGACAACTCACATTTGGTGAACACTGAAGGTGATATCAATGAAGCTGGTAAAAGATACCTTGCTCTCAAGCAAGAATGGCTGTCCCACCCTCATGGGCATATCGATGAGCAAGGACAATTTGTGTTTAGGGGCTTCCAGGGCTCATATGAAGTGGAAATTATAACACACAGAAAGAAAGTTTCCAACACATTTGTTGTTGACAAAGGTCAGTCACCACTTGTGGTGTCTATAAAGTTATAGCTTCTAATGAATTGGTGCTTCACTCATTAAAGACATAACCATGCTTCATGTGCTACATTTTATGTTTCTGTGGTAAGAACATTTTTGGTAACATTAAAGCAAGGAATGAAGTGTTGATCTTCTTGTTTGTTGTGTTCTATTGATCGAGCTTGTTTTTCTTGACGGTAAAATGTTATAAATTGAAAGTGTGGAATGATACAACCATCAACAGAAAAACAGAGTGGAACATTCAGCTCCTCAGTGTTAATAGAAGTTAATGTTTAGACATGGTTCAAATGTTTAAAGCAATGAACTAATTTCATTTGTTACTGAAAATTTGGTGGTGTTCCCTCATTTTCTTTCTTTTTTTTTTTGTCTTTTTTTTTTTCATGTGGAGGTGAACATGTTCCTAATATTAATGGTAGTTTTTGTGATGTGAGTGTATAAAATTGTAAATGAGTTCGACGCATTGTCAATTTTATTGAGGCTTGGGTAATTTGTTTGTTAGATTATTATTGGGATTATTATAAATGTTTTTTATTTGTCATGAAAGTTTGGTGAATGAAGCATATGGTTTAAGATAAATCTGCTACCCCTTAATTCCTGCATAACAGATCATGCACCAAACACCGCAATCAACTATATAAATCAACATTTTGTTTTAGATAATTTTGTACAATCGTGGGAGATTCTATCAAACATTTTTTTAAAAAGAAAATTTCTTAACAACATTTAAAAAAAAGAAAAAGAAAATTTCTTAACAATCTTGTCATTTACTTGAGATATTAGAAGAAATTTAAAAAGTTAATTAAAATATTTTATTTAAATGCATTCCCTTTAGCGTGTACATTGAACGAACAGAGCTTATGGTAAATTTTTTTATCTTTAAGGGAATGTATCTTTACAGTGAACATGGTTCATGCATTCAACGAAAAGAGGTTACGGTGAAATTTTTTCATCTTTAAGAAATGTAATATGTTCTTTTGCTAATTTACAGTTTAAATATTGGACAAATTTAATAATATTTTCCCAATAAACAAACCCTGCTAAATGGATTCTCTAGGGGATGTAATATGTTTTATTGCTAATTTACAGTTTAATTATTGGCAAATTCAATGTATTTACCAAGTAAACAAACTATCTTAGATAATTATTTTATAAAAAAAATATACTAATCTACGTGTGCTCCTACCTTCAATCCATTTGCCTTTTTTACTAGTTGGAAAAATGTTAAGCACTCACCCAAAGTGCTCTCTACTCGAGGAAACCATGATTTGTATCTACTGATAGCACGAAATTAGGGAAACCTTAATTTGTATCTACTGATAGCACGAAATTAGGGAAACCTTAATTTGTATCTACTGATAGCACGAAATTAGATTATTTGCACTGAAATAGAGGGATAGATGGTTCTCTCTTTACTTCCCCAAATACAAATTTATAACCTTGGGCAAAGACTTCTAACCATTCTTATTATGGGCAGAATGGATTTAAGGAGAGATGCAATGAAGCCATTATTCCACAGATGAAAGTAAACCCAAACACACAAACGAAAAAAAAAGAAAAATCCTACTCCTCCGGTTTCTCTCCTCTCCACATTAAAACACTCTCTGTGACTTCAAAGAAAATACGAATAAGTTTAACTTAAAACTCTCATTTTCATTCAAAGATTCATTCTTTTATACATTAAAACACTTTAGTGACTTAAAAGGTAGCTTAATTAAGGTATTTTCATTCAAAGATTAAATCTTTACACATTAAAACACTCTTTGTGACTTCAAAATGACCAATCACCATCACCACCAACTGCCGCCACCACCCTTCAATTCACCACACCACCACCCTCCAGCTATAGAATTATATATAATCAACCTAAACAATCAAAGAAGAGAATCAGGGTTGAAAGCGAACCCAAACCCTGAACCAAAAAAATCATACGCAGAAGAGCAAATTGAGGGAAAACACCGTAGGCCTTTCCCCATTAATGAGTGTGTTGGAGCAGATGATTTGGAAGTTATGCTACGAGAAGCTTATAATGCCCATTCTGCAGTGCATGGTGTAATATTGGGGGGATTTTGGGAGCTGTTTATGAGCCCAGACAACTCACATTTGGTGAACACTGAAGGTGATATCAATGAAGCTGGCTCTTAAGCAAGAATGGCTGTCCCATGCTCATCGGCATATCGATGAGCAAGGACAATTTGTATTTAGGGGCTTCCAGGGCTCGTACGAAGTGGAAGTTATAACACATAGCAAGAAAGTTTCCAACACATTTGTTGTTAACAAAGGTCAGTCACCACTTGCGGTATCTATAAACTTATAGCTGCTAATGAATTGTTGCTTCACTCATTAAAGACATAACCATGGTTCATGTGCTACATTTTATGTTTATGTGGGAAGAAGAACATTCTTGGTAACTTGCTGTGTTACCTTCTTGTTATTGGTTGTTTATATAAATTTTTCTGCAGAACGATTGATTTGCTGCTTCAACTGTAACATTATGAGAAGAAATGAATTGTTGGTCTTCTTGCTATAAGAAGAGTTGTGCTCACTTGATCTGTAACGACCTAGCTCCTCATGGGTCCGGATCATTAACGGGTCCTTACCCGACCCAAAATCATCCAAGGGTAAAACGGTCATTTCACGTCAAAATTAAATAATAAGGTCCAAAAGGGCAAATTGGTAATTTGCCATGAATCCATAAATTGAGACTCAAGGGTATCATTCACAAACTTAATTACATTATCCAATGGCCATAATTGCAAACTTCTTTACATTCTCCAAAAATTATGATTATACATGGAATGGCCGAATACAAAACAGCAAAAAAATCATCTTCTAACAACTTTCAATTTTGAGGTGGATTGGCATCCACCGGTTCTTTTCCAAGACCTGAAAAAAAATAATGTATAGTAGGATGAGCTATATGCTCAGTAGGTGACACTAGACACACATCTTGTATCCTTGTCAATCCAATCAAAGCATAGGCCAATGGGAAATAGGGATCATGCAATGTAGGGTTAAAACAACTTCAATGTCAATTCCAAGTGTAACAATGCAATGCAATGCATGATATGTCACTCCCCATTTTCACTTCTCAAAACCATACTTTCCAATTGTTAATACAGCCCGCCCTTTGGTAACCCCGCCGCGACACGAGAGGAGGATTGGCTAGTGTCCCTGACCCTTGGTAACCCCGCGGCGTCATTATGGGGCCCAGCTAGCTCAACCACGCTAGGGCGACTCCTTAGTCCCCTCTAGGCTATATTAACCTCCGGCCCGTTGGTAACCCCGCAGCGACCGGGTTTATCAAAACCATTTCACAAAAACTATCCTCCCAAAATTCCCGTTTTCATTTCAAAAACTGATTTCTCCCATTTCATGCAACCCAATGGCATGTACATGTACATGTGTCTCAAGCTTACAATATTATGGCATGTAGAAGTTTTACATTTCATAATTACTTCACAACTAAGCATATATCATATTCAACATCATCAATTGAGTCATCAACACATTAAACACAACAAAACTATCACCACAACATGCTTTTCACATAGAACAAATCATAATCAAAATCATAAATTTCTCTAGACATCAATTACACAACATTGAAACAATTAACTCTCAATTTAAGCATGTTTACCACACAAAGGAGATATAACTCACAATGGAACAAGAAGGAAGTGGATTAAGGGCCCCTACCTCGAAAATGGACAAAACCCTTGAAATGGGTCCTCAAATTCGAACTCCAAGGAGGGCACCAAATATGGAATTTCAGGTATGGATGCGTAGAGCTCGATGTGCTCTCCGTTTTGCCTCAAACGGTACTCCAAAACTCCAAAGATTGAATGAGTTATGAAGCTTCAAAGATTGCTTCAAAAGGAAAGGAAAAATGAAGGAGAAAGAGAAAGAAGAAGAAATGGACGGGGAGAGAGAAAAATGAGAAATAGAAATGGTCTCTATACCATTTGGTGCTTAATGGTGGGTCCTACCACTTTGAATTTCTTTTATCTTTTTCTTTAATTTCAATTCTTACACATCAAAATGCTACATAATTCACATAATTAAGATGCACAAAAATGCAACTAGACCCAACCACAATCCCGAACACAACATGTGAAAAGATAGAAATACCCTTGTCTCCACGAATTATTGGAAAAATGAAAATGCTGAAAAAATCAGAAACATCACAATCTCCCCAACTTAAAAGGATTTCATCCCCGAAATCAAGCTTTACCTGGAGAAGAGAACAACTCTGGATACTTGGAACGAACCTGCTGTTCAAGATCCCAAGTAGCCTCCTCGACTCCGTGGTGCCTCCAAAGAACTTTCACTAACTGCATCGTTTTACCCCTTAACACCTTCTGCCGTGTGTCAAGAATTTGCACTGGTCCCTCTTGATAGGAGATATCATCATCAATGTCCACATCGACCCAATCCAAAATATGAGATGGATCCGGTTCATACTTCTGTAGCATCGACACATGAAAAACATTATGAACCTTGTCCATCTGCGGTGGTAAAGCGAGTCTGTAAGCAACCTCTCCTACACAGTCCAAGATCTCAAATGGTCCAATGAATCGTGGTGACAACTTGCCACTTTTCCCAAACCTCATCAAACCCTTCCGTGGAGAAACCTTCAGAAAAACATGGTCTCCCACTTCAAAAGCTAGCGGTCGTTTCCGCTTGTCTGCATAGTTCTTCTGTCGACTCTGAGCGGTGAGCAACCTCTGTCTGATCAATTTGATCTTCTCGGTAGTCTCGAGTACAATGTCGGGTCCTAAGGCAGCTGTCTCACCTACTTCAGTCCAACAAACTGGAGACCTACAAGGTCTGCCATACAACGCCTCAAATGGAGCCATCTCTATGCTCGCCTGATAACTGTTGTTGTAGGCAAACTCAATGAGCCGCAGATGATCTTCCCAACTGCCACCCAAGTCAAGCACACATACCCGGAGCATACCCTCCAAGATCTGGATAGTACGCTCCGACTGGCCGTCTGTCTGTGGATGGAATGTCGTGCTAAGGTTTAACGCTAAACCAAACGCTGTTTGAAGTCCTTCCCAGAACTTCGAAGTGAACTTAGCATCCCTGTCCGAGACAATGGTTACTGGAACTCCATGTAACCTTACAATCTCATTCACA